AAGGAATGGAGAACCTGGAGTCCATGGAGAGACTTCTAAGGGGAGCTGATAGAAACCATGGGGCTACCCTGCAAGTGACCTTTGGCAATTGGGACAATGAGGGAGGTTGGGCTAAGGCCTTGTAGTTCCCTCACCTAAAGCCTCCTGTGCCATCCAGAGCAGCCACCAGGACTGCCTGCTTTCCTCAGTGGCTAGATTTCCCTAATACCTATGAACCTGAGTGATGCCCCCAATCTATAAGGCCAAACTATTTCTTCCACTATCTCATTTGCCTATTCATCTGTAAATCTGAATATTCATCTATATCCCTATCAATAAGGAGTCCATATCCCAACTCCCAGCAAATTCGACATATGATTTGCAAGCACTGACACAGCAATTAAGCACATTTGCATATTCATCTGTGCTCATTTTATGTTAAGCCCACCAGGTCTGGAGTCATTTACATCAGTTCCATGTTAATTACCAGAAGGGGTCTAAAAGGCTACCTTATTTACTCCTACAGGGCTAGTGTCATATTTGCATAAATCAGCATGCTCATTTGTATGCCACCTTCAAAGTACACCCAAGCTTCCCCAGTGAGGCCCAAGATGCAGCTGATCAAAGAGAGCTCTCCCTCTGCTCCCCTGCTCACCTGCGCTGCCCGGTGTGGGCCTCGGTCTGGTTGATCCAGCTCTTGTACAGGTGGACAGGATCTGTGTGGACGTTGAGCACCTTGTCCTCCAGCACGTCCTGAACAACTTTGCCCAGGATCTCCCTCAGGGCACTCTGTCCCCGCTCATTACGGTAGAATCGCACCACCAGCCTCACTACAGTTGGGTTGCCTGTCACCACGTCCTGGGGTTGCTCCACCTTTGACCTGTGGTTCAAGAGGTCAGAAGCTGGTCTCTTGCCTCTGTGTAGGACAAATAGTTGCTTTTCCTTTTTCATATTTTGGCTCTTCAAAGCCTGCTCTGGTATTCCCCCTCTTAAGCAATGTCCTGATCTCTTTTTCTGTCATCCCCAGCCCATGTCCTCCCACTGTGCTGTCCCAGATGTCTTACAGCATCTCCACAGGAGGCAGAGAAAAGAAGTCTTCTGATTCCATTTCTACCCTTAAACCTCAATAAGATGTCACCTTGTGAAGGGGCAAACAGGGCATCACTTAACCCATTCTCTTCCCACTCCTTAGCGTCTGGAGAGCCTACTTGATTTCCTCCTGGAGCGCTGTCTTGAACAGCTGGAGCAGGAGATAGGCCTCTCGGCGGCTGGAGGCATAGTTGTACAGACTGAAAATCACTGCCTCCATGAACTTGGTGGTTTTGTTCTGTGGCATCTGGAAGATCAGCTTGGCCAGATAGATTGGTTGAGTCTGCAAGCAATAGGGGAGGTAGGAACAGCTGACGGTGGAGTTCAAGGACTAGTGACTGGCAAAGGAAAGGCTTTCCTGATAGAAACTTGAAACGGAGAAAGCACTGTCACACTTTCTCATGGTACTGGAAACATTCCAGACAAACCGAGGAAGAGGTTGTCTCTTTCCCTGGGGACAAGGCACTAAGATTATGGGAAAGGAGACCTGGCGTGGAGGCAAAGGCACAGACAAGAAGGCCTTAAGGTCCCAGGCCTTCAGGGGAGGGTAGAGACTTCTTCCAACGTCCTCTGCTCACCTGGAGTAGGTAGAAGAGGTGTTGGTATGCTTCTAGCTTCTGCCGTTTCTCTTTGCTCAGCGACTTTAATCCCTTCTGCTTGTCCAGAACCATCATATCCGAAAGCTGTTCCTTATTCTTCCTGGTCAGCTTCTTGCAGTGGGAGACTACCTCCTGTAGGGGTTGGGGAGTGGGTGATACAACCAGCCAGACCAGCACAGAGCACAGAACATATGGTCTAGAATCAGCGGCTTGAAGAGCTGAGGCTTTCTGCTATTCAAGGAATAAGCATGAGCCAGGGGAGATAAACAGTTCTGGGGTGAGGAAGAGCCCCTCCTACTGTCCCGAGACTCCATCTGGTACCTCTACTCTCACAGGGGTGAGTCTCCAAAGAGAGCTGGGTTGCCAGGCTGAGGCATAGTGTCTATCTGTTGTTTGCTATTATTTCTTATTAGACTGTTGTATATATTTGAGGTGGGGATATCACTGAATTACTACTACCCTGTCACTGCATATTTGTATGGTAATTTACAGTTTAAGAGCTTTCATATATCTATCTCTACATTTGGCCTGGTAAGGTCAGACATTCTCATTACTGCCAGTTTGCTAATAAGGAAACAGACATAGAAGTTAAATGACGACCCACAGTCCCATCACTAGGAACCAGCAGAACCAGGCATTCCGATTCTGTCTCGTGCTCTTTCTACTGTATCATGTGTCCCCAGCAGATGGCTTAGTAGAATGGCAGAGGGCCACTGGAACAAGAGCCTCAGCCAGGTGATAAAATCCACACCATTTTTAAAAGAGGTGATTAGCAACCAGAGAATGGTCAGCATCATCTCCCCAGAGGCAGCTAGATGTGGGGGAAGGGGCAGGCGGGTGGGCCTCTCACCTGCAGGGTGATCCGGTTCTTTACCAGCAGACCAATCTTGATGTCCATGATGTTGAGGTCCTGCTCCAGCTGCTGATTGGACCGGATCTTCCTAACTACCTCTTCCTGGAGCTTCAGCAGCTCCGCTTCAGCCAAGAAGTCCTGCTGGCTTTGATTTAAGAGATGGGCAAATCTGCGTACCACACTGAGAGGAGGGTGGGGTGCGTGTACTGGGAGGAAGGGAGGAGGCATCAGGATTAGGCATGCCTCACCAGAGGCCTTCTGCCAGCTCCACCCCAGGGTCAGCCTACCCTTAGTCCCCATTCTGCTTGAGGCCCCGGACCCCAGTCCTCTTCTAATTGTTCTGCTTGCACTTGGAGGGCAGGGGGACAGCCTCCCAGCTAGGCCTGTCCTCAAGCTCCTTGTTTTATAACCAGGGATGACATAAGAGCTGTTCTTCCCCTGCCTCTGGAGTCACCCCCAACCTGGGCCTATCCCAGTGACGTCCCACACCAAAGCCAGAGCCCCCGCTCCCTCTGATATCCTCCCCGGCCTCCCCAGTCTACCCCGACTTACTGCCTGTGCCTGTGGGGCCAACCTGTTTCTCCTCCTTCTACCTATTAGCCTCCACTCAGCCCTGCCTGCCCTCACAGGGTCCTCTGTCAGGAGTGTCTGTGCACAGCAGGAAGCACCAGAAGACAGGTTGGTCAATGGGCTTTATAGTATAGGGGAGTTCAAAATTAGCTGGTGATTCTCTTTGATCACCTTTTGGAATTGGTACTTGAGCAAAAAATACCAAAAAGAAGCCTCTGAGCTAAGCTATAGGGAATACCAACAAAACAACAACTAAATAATGTTTACTATGGGGCAGACACTGTTCTAAGTGCTTTTACATACTTAGAACAACCCTATGAGGTCAGTACACTATAACTATCCCATCTCACAGATGAGATCGCTGAGGCACAGAAAGGGTAAGTAACTTGCCCTAGGTCACACAGCTAGTAATAAATGAAGGAGTCAGAGTCAGAGGATGAATAAAACTAGGCCTATCCCTAAAGGCAGTCTGATAGGTGATCTAGAAAAATAAACCACAATTCACTACAGTGTGGTTAGTGCTTAGAAAGGGGCCAGCACAGGGATTTTGGGGAAAACAAAAGTAGGGCACTCAACCCCACCTGGGGAGTAAAGTGGTGAGGCCCCACCTGAGATTGTGAAAAGGAGGTGAAAGAGGGTGAATGTGGCTGTTTGGGAAGTATTAGAGTCCGTTGTGTCTGGTGCACGGTGCAGAGGGTGCAGTGATGGGAGGTCAGTGAGGTCAGAGGTACAGGGAGAGGCTGAGTCACAGAGAGCCTTGGAAACCGTGGTTGGGAGACTAGACTTTATCCTCAGGGCAACAAGGAGTCATGACAGGTCTTAAGCAGGAGAGTGACAAGATCACCTGTGTAGGATTAACGGATTGATCTGGCCATAGCAGGAGAATGGATCTTTGAGGAGTGAAGAACTGTAGTCTCAAACAATTGATGGCATCTTGGATTTGACAAAATACAGCAGGTTAACCCATTTAATCCTCAAAGCAACCCAACAAGATAGGTGTTATCATTATCTCCATTTTATAAAGGACAAAATCGGGCAATAAAGAAGTTAAGTAACTTGCCTAGGGCTACACAGCTAGTAAGTGGCAGAGCTCTGCATAGAGTTAAGAGGCTAATGCAGTTGGGAGATAGGACTAGGAAAAACAAGTTCTTCCAGAAAAACCATAAACTGAAGAGAAGAAAAAGAAGATAAAGGATGGCCAGAACAGTGGTATTAGTGCAACAGCAAGAGACAAAATAGAAAGGGCCAGGCCGGGGAGAGGTGAGATGCAGGGAAAGAAGCTAGTTGCTCCGAAGCAGATGGTCCAAGTGTCCATGGCCAGAGAAGGGGCAAGCAAAGCTCCTGTGGTCAGGAAAGGGGGAAGAAGCACTGAGGAGGTGAAGAGAGGACTCCTGAATGGTACATTTAACTAGAAGCCCCCAAGTGTAGCCTCAAGGCCAGGAAGGAAAGAGGCCTGCTACTTCAGGAACCCAGGGGCTAGAGGTGACCATGGAAATGGACCACTGGTCAATTTCACAAGAAGGAAAGGGATTCCTAAGGCTGGGCTTCTGGACTTGAAGGACAAGGGCCAGGAGCGGCCTAGAAGGACCTCTTTAAGGCTTTAAATACACACCCATATGACAGGAAATATGGGCAGGAAAATGGCACTCCTTCAAGTGCTTCTCCTCTCGTTCCCCAGCACCACAGAACGGACTCTGCGTGCCTCGCCATGCCTCATGTGTGCCAGACCACAGAGGTCGGGAGGTGGAGGAGTCACGGACAGGGAAGAGGGCAAAGAGGGAGAAAGTTGGAACCCTAGGAGAGGAGAAAGATCCTTTTCTTTTTGCTTTGGTAGTAGCAACAGGTAGATAATCTAAGCCTGGTACAGAAAGAAAGTGGTTAGAGGAAATTTCTCTGTGAAAAGGCTGTCTGTGATTGGGGTGAGCAGGGGTGGGGTTGTTACAACCCCTGTTCCACATTCCTGCACAGACAACTTGTGACTACCTTCCCCTTATCTGCTGTGCAATCCCAAGAGGGATATCTAGACCTGCCTGGCTCTGTGGGGTCCTATCTCTCCCATCAGGCTGGGGGAAGGGTGGACCAAGCAGCTCACCTAATATCCTGTAGTCATCCTGGGCTTTTCTGGCTCGGAAAAATGCCTGGATCTTCACAATGGAGTTAACCTGCCATGAACACAGATGGGAAAAGGGTTGCTGGCAGCCTTTGCTCTGGTCTCATGGGTAAAGCTTGGGTATGTGGGCAGGGGGAGCAGGGTGATACTCACATTCTTCTGGAAGTAGTGCAGACGCCTCAGGTATTGCCTCCGAGCTGCCCACATTCGGGCCCAGGCCTGGATCTGGGAGGAGAGACACACTGCCTCAGAGCTCCAGGCCTGGGGCCCACACCCTCAGTCCCAGACCAATTCAGCCAGCTCCAGAGGTTACGAAGAGGTGAGGAGGACTACAAAATTGTTCTCAGAGGGTCCTTCAAGGGAGACAGGAACCCACCCAAAACACTATTGCTACCTTGATTATGGCATCCAGGTTTGCTTTTAAATACTGTAACCGCTCCAGGTAAATCTTCCGCTGTCTGTAACCCCGCCAATGAGTCTGCAGATCAGAAGAAAAAAAAGAGATAACCCCAGCAGTTCTCCTTTGGCTGGAGAGGGTTTTGGGAAAGGCCTTGTCTTGGGCTCTCCAGGGAAGGGAGGGGGGTAGATACGTAGAGGGGGAAGGGGAAACTGGCCTGGTTCTCAAAGAACTTCCAACCTCATGGGGAAGACCAAACGGCTGCACATGGCCAACCATGCCCTCTGCCACACTCCCTGGTCCCAGCACACAGCCCCCCCGCACACCTAACCAACACCTCCTCACAGAAACTCAACTGTAAGAGAAAGGCCGTAAAGATATTAATAAAGCATACATCTATTCACCAACTTCACCAAAGCATGTACCATATCACCCCAAAATATACTCATACAGCCATATGCAGACCACCCACACCCTATCTCACACACAACCCTCCCTGACGTACACAGGAAGTGGGTAGAGAGCAGTCTGGAGAGGCACATAATTGTGTGGGTGGGAAGTATGTATAGGCACAGAGTCCTGTGCCTGCCATCTCCGCCAGTGGCCACCTGGGCAGCAGCAGGTCACTAAGGTTCTCATAACTCATGCTTCTCTTCACAATAATACCATCCAGCTCCACCCCAGCTCTCAGCAAATTTTCCCAACAAGGTCCCCAGTAATTCAGCTGTCAGTCTGATGGCCTCTCCCCTGGCTGGTCTGCCACAAAGGTCCAACTATCTCCTCCATAAATCACACCCGCTTTGGTCTCTAAAACACAAATCTCCTGGTCCCCTCCCATTATGGTTCCTTCCTAGCAGTCTCTTCCCTTTCACCCCAAGCTTGTGTGGGATTAATTTTCCTAAAGCCTCCACTTGGACTACCTTGCCCCAAGCCCCAAAGTATCTAGAAGTTCTTTCTTTCTTTTTTTTTATTTGAGATAGGATCTCACTCTGTCACCTGGGCTAGAGTGCAGTGGCCTCATCATAGCTCACTGCAACCTCAAATTCCTGGGCTTAAGCACTCCTCCCAAAGTGCCAGGATTACCAGCATGAGCCACCATATCAGGCCTCTAGAAGTTCTTAACCATCTGACTCCACACTCCCTATCTGACTTTCTACTGGGCCCCTATCTTCTTAAGGATTCTAGACTTATCAGACATTTTGTTTTCTTCTAAACATGCCATATGATTTTCTGCCCTGAACCTTTGTTTACACTCACTCTCATCCCCAGCCCTATCTCTACCCACCGAAATCCTTCCTGTCTTTTAGGACCCATGTCAAAATCTCCCACTGTGCAGGCCCTGGAGGATACTCTACCACTGACATTGTCATGGTTTGGTGAGATTTAAGAGCATCAGCCAGGCACGGTGGCTCACGCCTGTAATTCTAGCACTCTGGGAGGCCGAGGCGGGCGGATCGTTTGAGCTCAGGAGTTCAAGACCAGCCTGAGCAAAAGTGAGACCCCCATCTCTACTAAAAATAGAAAGAAATTGGCCAAACAACTAAGCATAGAAAAAATTAGCCGGGCATGGTTGCGCATGCCTGTAGTCTTAGCTACCAGGGAGCCTGAGACAGGAGGATCGCTTGAGCCCAGGAGTTTGAGGTTGCTGTGAGCTGGGCTGACGCCACAGCACTCTAGCCAGGGCAGCAGAGCGAGACTCTGTCTCAAAAAAAAAAAAAAAAAAAAAGGAGCATCCACTTTTATCCAGTTGTTCTCCCAGCCCTTGCTGAAGCCAGTTCTCCTGGCCAGGCTTTCCCCTAAGCCTGTTGGGATACGATGTATGAGGCAGCTTGGCCCATGACAACAGCTGTCCATGTTGGAGCCTAGAGGCCAGGAAGCCCCCATTTCCATGCCTGCTGCCAGCACTCTTTCCTCTCCTACTCCAGGTACTGCCTAGAAAGTTGCTGAGGGAAAAGGCAGAGGCGTCTCCTCTCTGCCCTTACCCTCTACCCAACCTCTACCAGGCTCCTTAAAAATGAAGCCTCCTAATTTAGATTGGTCAGAATTCAGGACCCTGGGTGGGGTTCCTGCCAGAGTCAGAGCTTTCGGGAGAGATTAAAGTCTCAGCACACCTGGGCAGCCTCATTTCTGATTCTCACTTTGCTGGAGGGCAAGTGGCCTAAGGATCTGGGCTGCCTCTCTCTTTCTGTCTCCCAGGACTCAGGCCAGAGCCCACACAGCTCCAGCACTAGTGACAAATGCACCCTCTGACTCCATCTTCCCTCCCACTGTTGGTGTCGCTTTTCATCTCCTTAGTGTGAAATTCTAGTCTGGGCTCAGGAGGGAGAAATCTTATGATTCAGACCACTAAATTCAGATTACTAAAGTTCTGTATTGAGTTCTGGGACCAATGCCCTAAAAATAACATCTTATAATGGCTACCACCAATGGAGCACTTACCACGCCAAGTGCTACATGTAATTTTCCTGCTTAATCCTCACAATCAACATGAGGTGAGTATCATCATTATGAATGGTGACACTGAGGGCTAGAGAGGGCTTAAGTAAGGTGTCCAAGGTCATATGACCCAGAAGTGGTAGGACCAGGAGGCACACTCCAGCTTCTGACTCTAAAGCCTGAGCTTTCAATTACTACCCCACATGCCGTAGGTCATAATCAAGGGCAATTTGCTAGTCTCAGTCTGCACATCTGTCTCCTTTGGGGTCCTCTGGTATTCTTTGTGTCTCCATTATTATAATGTCTAATATCAATTGTACTCCAGTTCCTGCACAGGGAGAGATGTGATCACTCACCCGGGGTCCACACCTATCTGCCACCCTTGCCCGGTGCCAAGCGGCATGCTTTGCAGAAACTAGGCATTCAAAGCTGTTTATTAAATAAAGTTTCTTCATATTGCCAGCATCTCCATGAGGCCCCCTAGATCACATGTGCCTAAGGAGGTCTCTGCTCAACTGCCATCGTCCTGGCTTGCACAGTGCCCCAGCTATCTTTCCAGCTGGCCTCACTGCCCAGTTACTTGTGATTAGTCCACACTGGGCCATACACAGGTTAGAAGAATAAAAATGGAAAGGCCTGTTTGGAGAGGAAAGGTAGAGACTCTTCTTTTCCTAAGGGATGTTCCACTCCTTTTCTGTTTAACCACCACCACCTCTTCACAACTCCTAGTCAGGAAGTCCTCCTGGTGTATAAATACTGGTATCCCACTAAATCTTATTTCATTGTTCCCCTTCCTTGGGGAAGCTAAAAAGCAGCTCTCGTACTGTCTGGATAGTGATGATGAGGATAGTAACTAGCACTTATACCACGTTCTTACCTACCCGCCAGGCACTGTTTATAGATATAGATATTTGTAGACCCTTTAGATATTACCTCACTTAATCCTCATAACAACCCTCTAAGGTGGGTGCTATCAATTATCCCTATTTTTCCAGATGTGAAAACTGGGGGACCAATGAGGAAACCAAGTGGCAGTTGAGGAAGCTGAGGGAGAGAGAAAGTAAGTAACTTGCCAAGGTCACCAGCTAAGAGGTGATACATCTAGGATTCAAACCTAGGTAGTCTGGTCCCAGCACCTGTGCTCTTAACCACTACAGAGGCCTAAAGATCATCCCAACTCTACTCAGTAAAAGGAAGTAGGAGCTCTGGAGCTCAGAGAAGCCAGGCCCTAAAGACTTTGAAAGCCAGAGCTGCCACCTGGATCTTGATGACTGCTGGGAGCCAGATCCTCAGAAAGTGGGAACGCTCAGCGAACTTCCGCCGAACTAGGAAGCCGCGGAGGCGGGCCTGGAGCTGGATGACAAAGCTGACGTTGGCTTTCCAGAGCTGTTGGCGGTCATGGGCAGCAGTGACCTTGGTGATGGCTGACTGTGGAGGCAGGACAGAGAGGCTGTGGTCCTTTGGCGGATGGGAGCCTCTTTTTCAGGGCATCTCTATCCATGACCCCCCATGCTTGCAGGGGCCCCGCCAACCTGGATCTCCTCCCGAGTCAGGTGGGAGGTGTTGAGGCGGCAGCTGGGGGGTCGCTCCCAGGTGCCCTGGAAGGTCTGCAGATGGAAGTAGTAGGCAGTGCCATCCTTCATGTCATGTTGAACCCAGAAAGCTGTGTCCGCTAAGCAGAAACCATGTAAGCAGAGAAGGTTAAGAGGAGGCAAGAGGTGGCTGCGGCAGGCAGAAGAGGACGGTCAAGCGGGGACTATTACCTGGACGCCGTTTCTTCGCTACAGCACTTTCCAGGCCTTGTTGGTAGCCTTCAGCACAGTCGGGAACTACACCTCGGAGGGCCACGGCGGGGTTCCTCAACACCCGCTCTGTCTGGGCTGCCTTGCCCTCCTTGATGGCCTGATTGATGGCGGCCACACCAAGAGCCACTGACAGGGACATCAGGAGACAGCAGTCAATCCTTCCCCCTGAGTCCCTCCCATAGCCCTTGTCCTGTCCACTGGGGAGGGATTTGGTGAAGGAGGACACAAAATCAACCTGTCTGATGCAGCAGATGAGGAACATCCCAGGATGGACAGAGACATGCACGGAAAGCCACAGCATGCCGCTGTGCTTGGAGCAAGAGGCAGCAGTCAAGGAAGGCAAGGGAGGCAGTGTGGGGGTAGGCTGGGCTGGCGCTTGGTAAAAGGAAAACCAGCTGGTACAGAAGCTTAAAGGCAGGATACAGGCAGAGAACTGTGGAACAGTCTCTTAGAAGAAGAGAGTCCAAAAAGTGGGGATGGTTGAGGCACCACCTGCCTTTCAGTCACTCACAGGCAGATGGACAGAGGGACTCCAGACACTGAGACTAACACCATCAGCCCCCCAGACCAGCATGCCAGTGTCTAATTGCACTGACTCTGCCTATTTTCCTCAAATCCTGCCAACCTCTCTTCTCCCACCCCAAGTCTAAACATTTTCTAGCCAGAACTAATTGAATGTTGGAACCCAAACTCAAGCTACCAGCAGAAATGGAATGGATTTCTGGCTACCAAGTGATTTCACATGCTCACATTGCAGGGAAAGTGCCCACAGGAAGGCATGGAAGGAGGCAGCAGGTGGACTATGGGCTTTCAACTCCTGAGAATTTCCTGCCCAGCTGACTGCCAGGAAATCCACCCTGTGGTCCAAGCTGACTGCCTCCCCACTGAGGCTGACGGGAGAGGGAGGTGGCTGGGGAGGCTGCCTGATTATCTGGGCTGCTGCTCTCATGTCTCCGTCTCTCGTACCAGCACCTCTCGCCCAGCCCGCTTACTTCTCTGCGCTGTGTTTGTATCCTGGTTGGCTCTGACCACTCCCTGGCGGATCTCCTCCAGCCACAGGACAGCTCCAGGATCCCCTGTCACCTGCCAGATTGAGACAGATGGAAAAAGACCAGACCCCAGGCTGTTCTTTCCCAGGCCAAGTCGCCCAGGGGAAGCAAGCTACAGGCAGACACTGGGAGCTACAGGGGTAGCAATCTCCACGCCCCTCTTCCTGCCCCATGTGGGCATGGCCTGTGGCTCCCTCGCAAACCCTCAGCACCCACCACTTTCTCAACAGCTCAATCCCCTGTACTGTGCCTTAGCCATGTCCAAGGATAGCCCATGCTGGAGACTCTCCTATACGCCCCCACTCCCTATTCCCCGGTGCCTGATTTCACACCTTCTCAGGCCGATTCTGATCCTGACCTTCACCTTCTCCTTCCTATTCTTGCTCCACACTCCTCAACCCAACAAGGCAGTGGGAAAATTACGTGAGACCACAGGTCAAGGAAGCCTGTGCTTGCCACAGTGTCAGACTGATAAAGACTTGTTTCCTCCCTCGCCTCACCCAATCCCAGACTCTATTCCCTCTCAACTCCCCTCATTAATAATAGACTTCGTGAACTAACATCTTACTGAGCACTATGTGCCAGGCATTACTCTAAAGCACTTTCTTATGAATTAATACTAGCAAAGCACATAAAACGATGCTTGGCAGAGTGAGGACTCAAGAAATGTTAGCCAGTACTACTGTCATATCATCTCATTTAAATCCCACAACTATGAGATAAGCTCATTATCATCACAGTTGGTAGGTAAGGAAGCAGAGGCACAGAGGGGTTAAGTAGCACGTATGGGGTCAGAATGCCAGGATGCAAACTCAAGTAGTCTGGCTCAGGAACCCGAGCTCTCAACCGTTCTCTACGGCCACATACTCAGGGCATTTCGGGTTCAAAACCTGCCCCATTTGTCAACTTATTTGATTTTCACCCTTATTCTGGGAAGTGGGTAGCACTAGGGCGTGCAGTATTTTACAGATGAATAAATAGAACTCAGAGACTTCAAGAGATTTGCTGAAGATCATGTGGTCACTAAGTGACCGGGAAATCCAGCCCAGGTTCTCTGGCTCCTGGGCCTGTGCTCTTCTCACGCTGTGTCCAGTGCCCTGGCAATGGGGGCCATCTGAACCCCTCCCTATCCCTCTCCCCCACTGGAAGACACTGTCCATCAGACTGGAGCTCTGCCAGGGTACAACTGGGCACAGCTCTACCCACAGGGGATGTTCTTCCTGCTCTGGTGACCAACCCAGCTAGCCCTGACCTCACCTTGGCCTTCTGCCTTTTGGCTGCCACAAGGAGGAGATGGTACCGAGGGGCGACAGGGAGGCTGACATCGTCCAGGCCAGCCGCAGGAAGCAGGAGGGCGGATAGAGTTTTCTCAGGGCTGTCTTGGTCCAGAGCCTCGTTGATGAGGCTGACTGCCAGGACCTCTGAGAAAGAGAGATCTGACTGAGCAGGGGCCCCAGACTTATGGCTAAGGGATGAGGCTGCCCGAGTTAGGCCGTCTTCCCCCCGTTCCCGACTGCACTCACGGTCAGTCTCTTCCTGGACCTGAGCATTGACCTGGCTCACAGTGGCTTGCAGGTCATTCCAGCTCAGGAAGGCCTCATCCACTCCACGCACCTGTCGCAGTTTCACCAGGGCATCAAAGTAACTGGCAACAGGGTGAGGGAGAGAGAGGTGAGGTGAGCAGCATGTGAATCATCAGCCAGAAGACAAGAGGAACATTTGAACTATTTTCCTCACTTGGCCTCCAGGACACCATACTCTCTCGGTTCTCTTCTCACCCCACAGGTTATTCTTTCTGAGACTCCTCTGCTGCTTCCTCCCTGACCTCTAAACATTGGAGCATCCCAATCTTCAGTCTTTATACCTCTTCTCTCTCCATATTCATATCCTAGGTGATCTTACATAATCTCATGGCTTTAAACATCCTATGCTAATGACTCCCAAAAGCACAACTCCAGCCCATTCATTTATCCCAGCTGCCTCCTTGGGGTCTCCACGTGAATATCTACTAAGCCTCTCAAACCCAACAGCTCATATCTGAACTCCCAATTCCCCTGCTCATCCTGCACGTCCCATGGTCTCTCCCATCTTGCCAAAAATCTTGGAGTCACACCTGACTCCATTCTCTCTCACACCCATATCTACTACATAACCAAATCCTGTCAGTTCTGCTTTCAGACTATATCCAAAATCTGACTCCTTTTCCCCACTTCCACTGTTACCGCTCTAGGCCAAGCCCCCATCATATCTTGCACGGATTACTCCACTTGCTAACAGATCACCCTGCTTTTCCCCTCGCACCCCCGTAGTCCACTCCCAGCATAGAAGCCAGAATGATTGTTAAAGTAGGTCAGATCATCTCTCTCCTGGCTCAAAATCCTCCTGTGGCTTCCTTCCTCACTCAGAGGAAAAGCAAGAGGTCTACATGGTCTGGTCTCTGCGACTCTGTCTCCATCTCCCACTCCTCTCCCTTCCTCACCCCACTCCACCACACTGGCTTCCTGGTATTCTCTGGACACATCAAGGCCATTTCTTTCTCAGGGCTTCTGCCCCAGATAGCCTCACGGCAACCACTTATGCCTTTTAGGTCTCTCAATAAATGACCTCCTTAGCAGAGAGGCCCTCCATAACCACATTATGTAAGACAGAAAACCCACCCCTATAGGTCCCTACACTTTATCCCCTAGGCCTCATTGTATTTTTCTCTATAGCTCTTCTCTTCTAATCATGTCTCCCTCTACTAGCATGTAAGTTTGATGAGAGCAGAAACTGTTTTGTTCACTGCTGTTTCCCAGCACCTAGAATAGTATCTGGCACATGGGTGGGTACTCAAACATTTGCTATGAAAGAATGAGTCAATGAAAGAAAGGGGAATGACTATGAACCCATCCACTCCCAGGAAGAAACACAGGCCAAGGAATTGTGAACAGACCCAGAGGGTGGGCCTGGACCCAAGAACAGGGCATCACGCAGAAGGCTAGTCTCCGAGCAGAACTCTGAGTCTTGGCTACATTCCCCCCATCCCCTCACTCCAAACACATGGCTAACCCTTTCTCACCGCTGAGCATTTTCTCCTTCCACCTCTGCCAGGCCTGTGGCTGGGTTCACCAGGCTGCTCCAGAAGCCACTGGCATCCCTGGCCTCCAGGGCCCGGTTAATCAGGACCACAGCTGAGAGCATCTCCACGGCCACAAAGAGCTCCTCCTGGCCAAGCTCCTACAACAGTGGTGAGGACCAATTCCCAAGTGGGCAGGTGAAGGGCCTCAGGGCCTACCCACCACCCTGCCCCCAAGGTTCTAGAATATCCCGGAGTCTCTATCCCAAAACCCCATTGATCTAATTCACTCACTAACAATTAATCATACTTAACACTCAAGAATGTTTACTATATGCTCAATTATAAGTACTTCAAATACATTATCATTTAATTTTCATAACAAGCCAATAATAGTATAATACCATAGGTACTATTAATATCCCATTTCACAGACAAGCCCATACCCAATAATGTAAATTGAACCCAGGTGTCTGATTTCAGAGTGCACACTGAGCCAGTGAGCTCTACCAGCTCCCTTCTGGTCCCTGCTGCTCATCAAGAACTGCACTAGGCCCTGGGCTTACAGAGATGAAGATGACGTGGTCACCTCCATACTACACTGCACACCCAAGAGGCCCTGGGTCCCATTTCCCTGCCCCGTTCTCCTCCTTCTTTTCAAACATCTGTTTATGCCGTTCCCTCTGTCTGGAGCACCCTTCCTGTCTTCTACAAACAGAATGTTGTGAATAATAACAACAACAGCAACAATAGCTAAATCTTACTTTCCAGGCTCTTCTCTAAGCACATGTATTAACTCATTTAATCCTTGCAATAGCTCTATGAGGCAAATATATTGTTGTTCCCATTTTATATATGAAGAAATTGAGGGGCAGAGAAGGAAAATAACTTGCCCAATGTCACATAGCTAAGGACTAGCAGAGCCAGATTTGAACTCAGGCAGTCTGGTTCTAAAGTCCACAACTTTAGTCACTGTGCTTTACCTCTTAGTACTTATTTTATACTCCCTTGTGCTATAGTTATTCAATGTTGAAACTGTGCCTTTCCTGAGGGTCGTGCCTGTGTCCGGGTTGTGCCTGAAGTAGGTACTCTATAAATGTCCGCTATGTGTGTGATTCTCTATTGATTCTCTTCCAGGAAGCCTTCCCAGACTTACCCCTAGCTCTGCTTCCTCTATTTCCTTGGTCTGAAGACTTATTCCACCTACATCATCTCCTCTTCTCTCCCTGTGTCTCCGTCTGGACCCTCAGTTAGAATATACCCCGGTGTATTCTAACTCCTCCAACAGATTGCCAAGTACCTAAGCAAGGACCTCACTGTCACAGAAGCTGCATGGGGTAGGGTGAGGTGGGACAGCAGAGTGGTTAAAAGCAGGGGCTTCAAGTACCTTCAGCTTTGCACCCACCCCAGCACTGCCAGTCACAGCAGTGTGGGGCAAATGACTTAACTTCTGCATCTCAGTGTCCTCATCTCTAAAATAGAAATAATAAGATTTCCCCTTATAGAGTTCTTTTAAGGATTAAATGAGTGTATAAAGCAGTGTTTACTCAAGGGTATTAGCTATTATAATATGCTCAGTAAGGAAAGGACAGTCGTCCCCTCCTCCTCCCCCTAAATCTCTTGCCAGCATCTCAGACTGCCCTCAGAGGGTGCTCTGGACTGCCTGCCCTGATCCTTCCAGCTGCTTGGGAACCCCAGAGCTGGACCCACATTTCTGGGGCTTACCCCCTGCTGCTGCCGCTGGAGCACTGCCAGCTCCTGCTGGTACACAGCCGAGGCAAAGGGGTACACCGGAGGCAGCTGGGCTTCAGGGCACAGCAGCTCCTTCACAGTGTCAGCTGCCACTCCCCTCTGGATGGCTTTGTTGATCCGTCGCACAGCCTGGAGCACTGCAGGGGAGAAGAGCAACAGGCCGCACGCACAGGGTGGGCACCCAGTGTCATCTCCACTCTCCTGGCCAACTAGGCTCTGCTGGGGATCTCTGAGGGGAAATGGCTTTGTAACTGCTCTCAAAAACCCTTCTGCTAGGTTCAAAATGCATTTCTAAATGCTCAGGAGGAAAAAGGGCTGGGTTGCTTTAAGAAGAGTCTCTATAAGAAGCAATTTGTCAGGCCTAGAAGTTGAGTAGCTCGGCATGTAACACAGAGTGACTGTCATGGCAGAGGTGAGTTCTTAAGGTAGTGAGCACAAGATTGACAGGGGGCTAATGGAGCGTAACTAAGATGAGGTTAGGCAAGGGGCTCCAGGGACCAAGGCTTGACAACAGCACAAGGAACAAGGAACCAGTTCCAGGGTGGAGCCACGTGGGTTGCAAGAGTGGGAGTAAGCTAAAAAGGGGCTAGATGCATCAATGTAATTTGAGTTTACAAACTCTGGGGCTTACAAAATGCCAAACAGATATGGACATTGGCATCAAGGAGCGCACGATCTACTAGAGAGAAATAAGCAGACCAAAATACCTACAGTGCGCTGCTGCCAATGCCATGTTAGAAGTCCATTCCCCATACGTAAACCCCTTTCTGGCAAAATGCTATGGCAGTGCAGGGAAGGAGGGATTCTGGCTGGGAGAGAGTAGGACGACTTCACAGAGGAGGAAGCCTTTGGGACAGCTCTGCAGGATGTTTTTACCTGCTTCCAACAGGTAAAAGTGTGGGAGAAATGTAACCCAGAGGACCAGAGGCCTGGTGATAGGAAAGGCTGGGGGGCACTTGGGAAGAACAAGTTGTCTGCCTCAGCTGAACTGGGTGGAAAGTGAACAGAAGAGATGGGGAAGAACACTGAAAAGGTCTTACCTGCCAGGCCAAGAGGATGGGACTAAAGTGTAGGCTAAGTAATGGAAGAACCCGTGAAGGTCTGAAGATGGTCATCAGGGAGATAAGATCAGATCAGTGCTTCAGAGATTGCTCTGGTAGCAACACTCAGGAATGAACTGAGCTGATTAGGCAAGCGGTAGTCAGGAGTGGCCCGGGGGCTGCTTCGAGTTAGTGAGCTAGTATGTGAAAGCTCTCTTAGACAAAGGCAAATGGTTACTGAGCAATCTCAAAGGCTGACAGCAAGTCCAGCCTGAGTCGAGCAACTGTAACAGGTCTGGTGTCCACAGGCTGCTGCACTGCGCCTCGGCACTCTGTTTCTCTTCAGTCTTGCGGTACGGATTGATCTCTTGGGGGAAGACAATTGCTTATACACATTCTTTTAATAAATAATTATATTAGTATATAATGTTTTTAAGGGAAATTGAGTTAGAATATGAGTTTCTCTCTCATTTGGGAAATGACTACGTTTCAAAAGCCAAAGGAAGTCAAGCAGGTTGAAACTATCAAAAATTCAGGTGAACTGCCTAAAAGGAAACTGCCTGCTCCAGTAGACCAGCCCAGTGTAGTAGTGTCATGATCTCTAAGGCCTTAATGAACTTATCTGTAGTGTCCCTCCAGGCAGTAGGAATAGGGTAGACTACATGAGGGGAGATGTCCCTTGCCATGCTGGGGGATTGGGCAGCATCTTGCTTTGCCCAATACAGAAGCCAGCAAAGGATGGGATGTTCTTCTGAGAGCCAGCGATACTCCCAGAGTAGGCCTCAGGCCTGGAGATGACTTACTGGCTTGTTCCTGATCACCCTTCATGTTGGCTGCTGCCACGCCGGCCTGGACCTCCTCCTTTTCCAGAAGCTCCACCAGGCCCAGCTCCTAAAAGAGGGAAGAGATGCAGTAGAGGAGAGTCCTCCTGGGGTGTGAACATGCCTTAAGAGCTGCCAGCATGAGCTCCCAGGTCCACCCAACCACCTACCCTCAGTCCTACCTCTCTCCCCTTTAGGCAGAATAGCCTGGTCCACCCATTCCTGTTAACCCTTCTTTAACCGTTCTTACCTAGCGAGCATCTGAAATAACAACAGACAACGCAAGTATAAACAGTGTCGACAGCACTGGAAACAAGATTGCTAATCTAAGGCCCCAATTCAGCAATGGGGGGAGCACATCACTGCCAATGGGACTGCCCCTGGGTCCTTCCCGGTCAGTCTGAGGGACTTTCAGAGGGCAGAAGCTGATCAGTCTAGTCCTCTAAGCTTTGGGGTGATTTAGCCATTTAAACATATAGTGAGCACTTACTGAATACAAAGAACCGACAGTGGTAATGGCTGGGTAAGATGTCCTATCCCATCCTATAGTCAGATAGAGGTGGCAGGTAATAGAGTCTGACCTGTGCCTTCTGCTCTCTGTCTGAGCTCAGCTGCTCCAGGTACCAGTCAGCAAAGTCTCTCCTCACCCCTTGCAGGGCCAGAGCAGGGTCTTGAAGGGCCTTAAGCAAGGCCTCAGGGCTCTGTCTTTCCAGGGCATCATCAACAATTTCTAGAGCCCCATGGACTGAAAAAGACCAAGACTCCATGCTGGACAGTGTGAGAAAGCCCACCTCTCACCATCCCCCAGCCCGGTCCTGGGAATCTACTCTCTTCCTGCCCACCCAGTTACCCCTCCCCACCGTCGCCCTCTTAGCGCAGCCGGCAGCACATCGGTCTCATAACAGAATCACCCCTCCTTGCCCCCTGGGTTTCTGGGCCCATTTCGTTCACCCCGAATTCTTCGGCTTGGTCTTCACAGCCTTCTCACCTCACCATCCCAGAGCCTGAGGATATCCTCACCAAAATAGGCAAATGCCCACCCATCTTGAGCCTTCACACAGCCCCTCCTGCCCAGATTGCCCCCTACCCTCAGGTATTCTCCACACTCCCTTCTCAAAGGACCCCAGTCCAACAGCCCCCAGCATCAAGAGCTGAAAGGCCTGCCCCTTGCCTCTGCCCTCTCCATGGTTCTCCATTCAAGCAGAAGCCTCCCTGACAGGCTGGGCGCGGTGGCTCATGCCTGCACTCTGGGAGACTGAGGCGGGCGGATTGTTTGAGCTGAGGAGTTTGAGACCAGCCTGAGCAAGAGCGAGACCCCGTCTCTACTAAAAATAGACAGAAATTAATTGGACAACTAAAAAAATATATAGAGAAAAAAAAAAATTAGCCGGGCATGGTGGCACATGCCTGTAGTCCCAGCTACTCGGGAGGCTGAGGCAGAAGGATTGCTTGAGCCCAGGAGTTTGAGGTTGCTGTGAGCTAGGCTGACGCCACGGCACTCTAGCCCGGGCAACAGAGCAAGACTCGGTCTCAAAAAAAAAAAAAAAGAAGTCTCCCTGACAGGGATCACTTTTCTTCCAGACACTGATGGCCAGAAAGCAGAACACACACTGCTTGGACTCTGATTTTCCCCTGAGGCAAGAGTTGGCCCAAGGGAGGCCATAGAGCTTTCTGGCCTGAGAGAAGCCATTCTCAAACCTCCCAGTGCAGGGGCTTACCCTGAGACACCCTCCACCCCCTCCTGGCCTATCTCTCTCACCGTTGACATGGTTGATGTTGCCCTGGATTTCAGCCTGAGTTAGGTAGTGGTCATAGATGTCCTGGCTCTCTCTGTCATCCTGCAAAAACTACATTGAGAGGGAACCTGAGAAAAACAATTCAATTCTCTTCTCCTACTCTGCTCTCCCTGGCTATACCTATTTCTTCTTCTGGGTGTCTTCCCAAAGCCAAAGGTCAGTCTGCTCAGGACTCAGGCGAAATTGTGGGGTCTAAACCCCTGGCATGGACACAAGCCAACCTTTGGAATCTCCAGTCCAGTCTCATCCTGTTCTACAATATATTCCACAGTGCCTCTCAGGCCTCCCATCAGATCCATCCCCTCAGAACCTCTTTTCCAGTCTTCTGGTCTGAATTCTCATTATTCTCCCAAGTTCTACTATTTCTCTAAAATCACTGACAAGTTACGGTTTCTCCAAGAAGCAACTTTGGAACCTAGAGACAGGACAGATAGGAGTCCTGGTTTCATTTGAGACTTTCCAAGCCACTCAACTTTTCAGCCCGTGCACCCAAGACTCCTCCTTACATGGTTCCTGGCATTGGCAGCCTTCTCCATCTTGGCCTGGGCCAGCAGCTCCTGGTAGATGGCTGCCAGAGGCTCTCGAAGATTCTCTAGAAGAGCACTGGGATTCTGCAAGGCAGCCAGAGTTTCCTGAACCACTCCTCGCTCCACTGCCTCATTGATGGCAAGAACAGCTGCGTGGACTGGGAGTGGGAATGGAAACAAGGTCAGGAGGCCAGAACAAACCCCAGACCAGAGCACAAACAGTTGCAGGCCACTCTGACATCACCCCTTTTTCCATCCTCAGGGCCCAGGCAAACCAGGTAGCCTGATGTCCTTGTCCATGGATGAGAGGTGGCCAGAATCCATCTGAGGGCTATGAGGCTTGGGGTCCTCCCATACCCACCAAGCCTCTCCTGGCAGAACAGAGCCCAGTCCCTACCTGCAGCTTCATCCACTGAGAGCTCGTTGGCCAGGATGCCCCCGATTTTGCTGAAGGCAGGCAGCTGGAGGCCATATTTGGCCAGTTCAGAGGCCATGTTGCTGAGTTCCTCGTCTGCAATGATACCACAGGTACCCGTCAGGAGGCCCAAAACCCCCAAGACCCTGCCCAGACTGTGGTGGTTAGAGAAGGAGCTGGGCTTACCTGTGAATTTCACTTTCCCATATAGATCATGTATCTGAGGGGCCAATCCCAGCCGGAAGAGGAAGAGACTGGGAAAAAAACGGAAGGCATTGGAAGGCACTGGGGCCTATTCATTTCAACACTCTGCCCACAGTGGGTTTATAGGAGATACCGTGGGGCCCTGGAGATGAAGCTCACTCAGTACCTGCCCTTAAGTCACCCCCACTCCACAGGAAGAAATGTTGTTGCACATCAGCTTGAGGAAAGTACAGAGCTAAATTAAATGCTGTCAGAGGTCTGTGGGGATTGGGGAGGCTTCACAGGGAAGGATACATTGTAGTAGCCGGTCACTGGATGGAAAAGGAGGATAGTAAGGGCACAGCAAGCGGAGACCTGCTGAGCTAAGGCACAAAGGCACAAAAGGACATGTGAAGTCAGGAGGAGACGACATGGTGGACACAAGGAACTGGTCAGGCACTTTCTAGGATTTAGCCAACTGGCTGCTATGGCTGGCTGTGAATAGGACCAAACAGCCTTCACTGTTCAAACTAAGTGGCTTGCATGTGGCACTCTCTGTGGGTCCTGTTCTGACTCCTACTTCAATCACAAGCTGAAGGCCCTACTCTGCCTGTCCTTTCCCCTTACCCACATGGTCACACATACATGTGTCCACACACATGCACATAAACCTGAACACAACTGTATGAATCCAAAACCTTACTCTCCTGAGAAGTGCTCTCTATGGTCTACCCTCCGTCCTTCCTGCTATGTTTATTGCTGTTGATTGTTGGTTGCAGGAACCTAGATAACAAAATTTGAGGTTTCTCACCTGAGGGCATGGATGCAGTAGACTACCCGGGGCATGTTCTTCTTGTCATAGATGTCCGTGGTCTCTGGGAAGAAGGTCTAGGGGGAGACCAACCATTACTGCCATGGGGGACCTTTAAGCAGCACCAGATAAGGAGAGAGTGGGCCAAAGAATGGGTCTTCTGTCCAACCTGAGGTGTGTGCTCCTTTTTTGCCTGGGTCTTCTAGGTCAGTCTCCCCAGCCATTTCCAGTCAGCCCGGTGTAAAAGAAAGGCACTGGTGACACAATACTAGGCCAAGACTCAGCCACAGACATACAGTCAGAGGGTGCCATGGACTAACTGAACACCAGATGGGGCTATCCAGGCTGTAGGATGCAAGCCACATCCTCCAGGACAAGCAAGCCCTCAGCCATCTTACAGACACAGTGAGCCTGCGTGCCTCACCGTGGACTCTCACCAGGAAGGCGGGATGCTGTGCAGCTGGCCATACTCCCGTGGAGGCCCAACGAGGCATACATTGTGAAGGACCACAAAGGTGTCAGGTGTGTCATCCCTGTCCCCGAGCCAGAGCTCTTGATCAGTGGGGGCCCTTCTAAGAACTGAGTTGCCCCAAGGTGGCTTCCCATGCCACCTAGCGACTGTAATGAGGCCTAACCTCAATATATCTTGGTTACATTTAGGTTCATTATAAAGGACCTAATCTAGAGACTTAAGTGTTCTAGTCCCACTGAGGACACATGCCCTGTCTTGTTTCTGCCTCCCACCAAAGTGTCTTTCTTTACTGCTATTTCCTGGCTTATAGTTCCCTTCTACAGTGGAGAAAAACCAAGCAGAGAGAAACCATACATTGTGGAATCCTATCATGCCTTAGTTTGTATAGCTCTTTACGATTCACAAAGGGAATTCGCACAGACCAACATCATAAGGTAGACAGGGCAGGGATCACTATCCCCATTTTACAGGTGAGAAACAAATTGAGATTCACATGCATCATGTGTCCAGTGGGGTCTTGGGCCTAGGCTGCTAACTCAAAGTCTACCACCTATGGATGGGGTACACCCTTGCTTCACACTGTGAAATTCTGGTGGAAAGATAGGGCTGGCTGATATGAGCCCCATCTCCTGCATTACTTAGGCGTCCTGCTGCATAATGGGAACCATGCCACTCAGGCCAGGGAGCCTTCACCTCCTTTTATCCACAGGGAAGGAGAAGCAGAGAAAAAATAATAATAACCCAGTTCAAAGACAAACTGCCCCAAGGAACTCTTCTCTTAGAATAAGTTAGTTCAGAAGACACATGGAGATGGGGGCTAAAGGTCTGGGGAGACAAAGCGGGGGTTTGGGGGAACGGGTGAAGAGTAAAGATGAATGCCAATCTTGAGGCCCAGTGTTACCGAAGGCAGACCGATGTGGGCTATTGCAGACAGCCAAAAGTTGATGTTGTCCGTGTGACGGAAATGCAAGCCAGTTGCCTGAAAGGGAAGGATAAAGAAGAGAATCTATTTCCACAGTTCTTGGAGCTCCCTATGGGCACAGCCCAGACCACAGCTTAACGACTCAAGAGGGAGGGGCAGGGAGACCCCACCCTGTGGATTTCCCATCCTCTCCAGGACAGAGAAACATAGACAGAAACCACCAAGAATGGATGATCCAGTTGGACATTTGGGAAGGATGGCACAGGGATGGGATTAAAAATCCAGTAAGGCTTCCTAGAAAAGGGGAATCCAGAGCTGGGATGGGAAGGAGAGGGCAGTCAGGCTGGTGAGAGCACGGAGAAGGAGCAACATGCCCAGGAAGTACAAGTAGGGTGGCAAAGCCCACATGCCTCTGAGTGCAGACTGCAGGCAGTTCTCATCTCAGGGCATCTTAAAGCCCACCTATCAGGTGCCCCTGGCTGCTAAGGATAGTACACACCCACCTGGCTGGTAGACACTGATGAATAGCTTGTCCCAGCACAATGACTAACAGCATCCCCTTTCATCCTCAAAAGTGTCCAGATTTGGACAGTAAGTTATGTGGTCACCCTACCCTCACAGCTTTGAGAATGGGTAGTTTGAGAGGAAGAAGGTAGAAGGTGCAGTCCACTATCCCCCACCTGGTACCGCAGCTGCTCCACGTCATAGATCTTCTTCAAGGGAACCACGGAGGGTGCAAAACAGTGGCCCAGCTTGGCCAGCAGCACTCCGTTCCGGAGGCTCTCCTCCAGCTCCACTGGGGAAGGAAGCTCCTCCTTCAGGCAGGCCTCCATCCAGCTACAAACATGAGAGCACCTTCCCATCCACTCTGGCAGTCCACAGTGGTTTATTCTAACTGCAGAAACTTCCCTCCTTCTCTCCCCTAAGTGGCCCCTGATCCTCCCCTGCCTCCTGTTCCTGCCCTACCCCAAATCCCCTCTCTGCCCATTGCCTTGGTGTTCCCACCTTCTCTCAAGCTGCCCGAAACACCTGGATCAGCCAACCCTCAGGCCTACCCACCCCAGAAAGTCTTCCCTGACAGACCCTTAACCTGCCTATCTTCAGTGAGGCTTAAACAGACTCTTACCCTGTTACATAATATACCTTCTCACTTAGTCTGGTTACATATTTGATTGTTGAACCAAATTGAATCTGCTCGCCTCCGTCATTTTGCATTGTTCTCTGAGAACCCAGGTACGGAAAGATCATGTCTGCCCAAATGATCTACACGGCTTGTAACCCAACTTTGATGATGATGAGGGTAGTAGGGAACCTCTGGATTGATGGAAGGGGAGCAGCGCAAAGGGACAGAAAGGTCACAGCTCTTGGAATCGGAAGACCCACTTTCCACACCATCTCCCCCCCTTCACCTCTCTGAGCCTCAGTCACATAATCTTCAAAATGAGGATACCACCACCTGTGCTGCCTGCTTCAGTGGGCAGTTGCCAGGATCAAATGAGCTAATGAATGTAAAAATGCTTTGAATATAAATGTGAAGCATTATTATTGCTGATGGTTGTATGAAGGAGATTAAGGGCTGCTCAGATGGACTCTCCAAACTTCTCTACATATTGGAGTCTAAAAGGAAAGTATCTGTTTCCAAAGAGAGAGTCAGTCACACTTTGCTTCGTGACTTCCCTGCTATAAACACCTGATTTTTCCCGATTGCCCTATTCTACCTACTTCCTTTGAGAGCATTAAAAAATACTGCTGAAGCCAGGTGCAGTTGGCTCATGCCTGCAATCCCAGTACTTTGGAAGGCTGGGGTGAGAGGATAGCTTGAGGCCAGCAGTTCAAGACCAGCCTAGGCCACAAAGAAAGACCCTGTCACTATAAAATTTAAAAATTAGCTGGGTGTGGTAGCGCATGCCTGTAGTCCTAGCTACTTGGGACACTGAGACAGGAAAATCCCTTGAGCCCAGAAATTTGAGGTTACAGGGAGCTATGATGATGCCACTGCACTGCAGCTGAGGTGACAGAGTGAGACTCTGTCTCTTAAAAAAAATGAACACAAAATTGTTCTTTAAAAGAAAAGAAATAAGTATTTATCCTGACTTTCCTAGACAGACTGAATTTCAGGATACCCAAATAGCCCTAAGATGATGAGGGAAAGTTCTTCTTTACAATTCAGCTAATAATTGTGGAAGAAATAACAGAACTAGGCCAGGTGCGGTGGCTCACGCCTGTAATCCTAGCACTCTGGGAGGCCGAGGCGGGTGGATTGTTTGAGCTCAGGAGTTTGAGACCAGCCTGAGCAAGAGCG